AAAAAATCGAGAATATCGCATGATATCCCTGAGCGAACATCTGGACATATGTGCACACAACTTTAATACAAAATTCCAAATATTCCCGTTTTACCAGCTCCTAAATGATTGCACAAAACAGAGAACAGTTAAAGAGGAATATTTCATTAAAAAATTTAGACCTCTGCTAAACAAATAAATTAGCTTAATTGATCTCCTATTGATAAGTAGCTAACTGAATAGTGTGTTATGTACATATTATATTTGTTTATTCATTCATCACTATTCATTCATTTATTCATTCATTCATGCAATGTAATGTACCTCTATTGTGACGTCACAAGGGTAACCTTGCAACGTTATTAGTATCAATGGCTTCCTGATGAAAATATATTGAAACATGTAGAAGCAAATCGGTGTTATTTTTATATTTTATACTATTATATATATATATATATATATATATATATATATATATATATATATTTCTGTTAATAACGATTTCACCCTTCTCTGTTTTTAAGTTTTTTATATTTTTTTTTTACTATTTCCAGACTCCATAGTGGGCTAAGTTTTTACTTGACTTTCTTTGATCGCATTAGTGTTATTTCTTTTATAATGTTATTGGTTTCACAACGTCCTAATACCATGTGGGGGTTCTGTTCTTCTCTTCATTGGACAGTTCAGTTGTACCCAAAATCAGCCTACTGAAGCTACCTAGAGACCACGTAGTTGAAGAATGTGTTGAATTCAATGGACCCCAGACTGGGCATACTCCCCATATTGACTTCTGTGTTACTCCCATGGCATTTCGTTGCCGAATGGTTAGCGCGCGTGTGTTGTCATATTAAGTCTGTTACTGGCGTGGTTTCGATTTCCTAGTTGAATGTGACAAGGTTTAGGGTCGCCTGTCCAACCTCGTGGGTTTTCACTGGGTCCTCCGGATCAAGATGTCTAGATTACCCAGTCTCGACCAAAATACCGTACAAGTTTACATTAGCCAGTCACAGCCAAGGTACCGTGAAAGTCCATATTACCCACTCGTGATCAAGGTACCATGTAAGTCTGTATTATCCAGTCTCGATCAAGGTACCGTGTAAGTCTATAATATACACGGCGTAAAACTGTAGTCAGAGATTTGTGGAATAACTTTTTTGACATTCCACCATGTTTTGCGACGTCACTGTTCTATCCTGATGTGTCCAAATTGTATGATTATTTTTATATTAAAATTATGCTATTATTAGCATAAGATGGCGGTCAGTTTGGGCGGGAAAATTCGAAATCTACATTAAGATCAACTTTGGTGTCAAAATATAAGTTTTGGAGGAGGTACGTGTAGCTGAATCCATTTTCATACATATTTGGACGATACCATGATTCCCGGCGTCAGTACAAGAGTAACTCCAAATAGGGTTTTAGGTTTCCGATCAAGGATTGGGGATTAATGATACTCCTACCTTAGACTTAATACAATGACATTCATCCAGTATGAACTAAATTTCATTTCGACTCTCTGGTATACAACTCAATTGTAGAAATATGAATTGTGACGCAAAAATCTCATAGATTGGGGAGACGGGCACACATCTACGGGATAAAGTATGCAACCATCGACGGGATTGTAATATTTAAAATGAGCCTTTATTTGTAAATAGACATATCTTTAGATGTGTACAACACCTACAAGTAAAATTTCCAAATTTCCTATTTATAAAATGAAAGCCGATAATATCACGAAAAGAAAATTAACGGAAAACCATTTTACTAAAAAAAAAAATACATTCCTCGACTTAATAGTCAATACGTAACAATTGGCCAGCAACTTCATTAATTTTCTTAAATCTATCCCAGGATTATCTTTTACTCATTGTTCTGAAATTGTACCCTTCTGCAACAGATTAACACGCGTGTGTACATGTTTTCTTTTAGTTACCTATATACTATGTAACCATCGACAATGATGACTATAGCCAATTAAAAGCACAGTGTTACTAGGTATATATGTATACAAATACTAATGTTATTAAATCATTGTCAGCTGGCTAGGTTTCGATTCCCCGGTTGTACGTGACAAGGAGTGGGGTCGCCTGTCCAATCTCGTGGGTTTTCTCCGGGTCCCCCGGTTTCACCCCATTACTAAAGACCCCTTCGCGCAAACGAATTATTGAAATAAAATTGAACCATATGTTAGTCCTAAAAAGACCTAGTTTGTGTTGAGTGAACGTTAAACACCATTTCCCTCTCTATCTTCCCTTTCATACCATGTAAAAAACAATGGTCCGCAAATATGAACGTTGGCACTATGGACCGTCTAGAACTCGACCCATCCCCTTCTATAGCTTTAGAATTTTCGGGGTTGGTTACCAAAATCAGACACGCCCATGACACTGTGCCCATGGAGAGCTGAGAGTGGCCCCTTTCGTCATGCCTGCTACGCTGCTTCGTCTGTGAGGTGAGAGTGAGGCCAGAGAATCTAAATGAAATTTAGTCGATGCTTGATGAATGCAATTGTATTAGATCTGAGGCAGACTCGAGAATCCTTAGTCCCCTAATTTCTATTGGAATCGGCTATCTCAAAAATGTATATTTTGACACCAAAATATGATCATTTTGCAAAATTCGAATTTCCCGCCAACTAGAATCATTCCCCAATATTAACTCCGCTGTATAACTAATCACCAAACTGTGTATGGAAATGGATTCAACTACCCCGGCAAAAACTGGCGGCGATTTTGCATATTGGCCAATTCGACCAATTTAGACACAGATTTCAGAATGCGCTCTTTGCGGGGGGGGGGGGTAACATACGCATAAACCTTGGTCGGTATTTCTATTGTAACAACTGCCCGGGATGATGCGGAATTGAGTTGAAATGAAATTGGGGTTACTGGTGCACTGTTGTAATTAAGGCAAATATTGTAATTTTAATTAATACACTATTATGATTAATGTCCATATTGTAATTGTATTCCATACATTATTAGGTTTACGCTGTTTTAATTAATAGAAATATTGTAATTGTAAGCCATATGCTGTTGTAATTAATAGACATATTATAACTGTAAGCCATATGCTGTTGTTATTAATAGAAATATTGTAATTGTAAGCAATATGATGGTGTAATTAATTGTAAGAATTGTAAGACATATGTTGTTGTAATTAATTGTATTTGTAAGAAAAACATTATATGATTTTTCATAGACTGTTGTGATTAATGGACAGATTGAAATTGCAACCCATACACTGTTGTGATTAATAAGGGGAATATTGTAATACGTCCACTATTTGGATTAAAGATGCATTTTGGGATATTAGATAAAGACCTGACAGTTCTTACTACAATAGTTTAAAACTAAATAATGTAAAAGGAAATTACTGAAAATTTCAGCATGTTGTCACGCGGATCAAAACTTCGTTTATGAAAAAAGTAGTTACGAACTAGATTAAAATTTTGGCTAAAACTCGGCGATTTAATTTCTAAGTTAGTTGATTGTAACCAATGACGTATATATTGTAACGGTTCTCGGTTCAGAGTCAACTCGTGTAGTTTCGCCCTTTTTCTATCTTTTAAATCCACTCTCGTGGCAACATACCGACACTGCAAGACTGTGAAAGTTACTTTTATTTAACCGCAAAACTCTGTTGTTAGTGGGCGCTTTAGTTACTTTAGAAGTTACATTGTTGCTATCTCTAAATACGCAGAACAAATTTGAGACTGGAAATTAATTGAACGAAATTATTTTCTCTAGTTTCGATTAACCAGACGTGTATGATTAAAATAAAATTACGGTACTGGTCACAAGACTCGGATTCTAATCATTTTAGGGCACTGCAAATTGGCCTCCGGTTTTGTGTCATATTTAATAGGAGGATGTGCCATTATGGCTATGCCATTCATGTATATTATCCTTATGCATTTGCCATTTCTAACATGGTGATTACAAAACATTTCAGTTATTATAAATCTAGCAGCAACTCATTTTTCTAGAACTGAAATATAACCAAAAAGACGCGCATTGACTGTTTCATAATTATTAAAAATATGAAAACGCGACACGATGCGTAAATTGGGGTTACTGGTGCACTGTTGTAATTAAGGCAAATATTGTAATTTTAATTAATACACTATTATGATTAATGTCCATATTGTAATTGTATTCCATACATTATTAGGTTTACGCTGTTGTAATTAATAGAAATATTGTAATTGTAAGCCATACGCTGTTGTAATTAATAGACATATTATAACTGTAAGCCATATGCTGTTGTAATTAATAGAAATATTGTAATTGTAAGCAATATGATGGTGTAATTAATTGTAAGAATTGTAAGACATATGTTGTTGTAATTAATTGTATTTGTAAGAAAAACATTATATGATTTTTCATAGACTGTTGTGATTAATGGACAGATTGAAATTGCAACCCATACACTGTTGTGATTAAGGGGAATATTGTAATACGTCCACTATTGGGATTAAAGATGCATTTTGGGATATTAGATAAAGAGCTGACAGTTCTTACTACAATAGTTTAAAATTAAATAATGTAAAAGGAAATTACTGAATATTTCAGTGAAATTGATCCACTCTGAACCGAAATTTTAGCTATTGAATTTTCGGCCTAGCCTCGATCATCATTACTAATGTCGGTACGATAAAAAAAAAAGCATAGTCTCGATTATCCACTTCATGATGAAATTATGGATGGAAGTCGAACAGAAAATCGGAACCTAACCCAATCAACACTGCAGGTAAACGGGACTAGATTGTGAACTGCGCATGTTATCTAAATCCAATTATTAAGACCATCTGCCGTTTTGACCAAGGCCGCCGAAAGTTAAATAGGATCAGGGAATGGGCTTGTTGACGATCAGGGCACGTGCTTGTTGATGATCAGGTTTTAGAGTTTTGGGGAAAGGTATTGATAAGCAATAATAACAATATTAAATTGAGAGAATTAATCCTTATAGAGAAACCAACCAACATGTTTATATTATTTGTGCCTTTTTAATTCTAGTGAACCTGTGTCTACCCAACCCATGTAAAAATGGCGGTAATTGTTTACCAGTTGATAACGGTTACAGCTGCAATTGTACTACAGGATTTTTAGGAGAAAACTGTGATAGTAAGTTACTTAAATTCATTATTGTCATAATAATTTAGCATGCTTTGATTAACAAGCTCATTTTAGGAAAAGAAAAGGACTCAGGATACATTCTTGGTTGACACTAGATTAGATTGACACAAGAATCCACCAATTACATCTGAGTTAACTCGTTATATCTGAATAAACTCACTACATCTGAGTTAACTCATTACACCTGAATTAACTAGTTACATTATAATTTATATCATTGTTACCATAGGTCCATGTAATCTTGCTCAAACAATGTATAACATAACTTTGTTTGATTAATTCGGACAAGGCGTACCTGAAATCGATAAGACATAATATAATCAACCTGTTTTACAGTTACTAATACAAATTTATTACCACTGAATATCCTTTCCCGAACTCAGCTTGTTCCTCTGCTGCTTATCGGACCATTTCACTAACATGCTATACAGAATTGATATGAATAATTTTATGGCATCGATCAGAATGTAGGATGTCACTATACTTACTTGGTAATTTCATATCCTCACCAGTAGCCTACTTTTTACAGTCATCACTGATAATTTCTAAGTCATTCCATTTCACCTGGACCAGTGCTTGTAAGTGACGCCCTCAGAAAATTATGAAAACAAAATATGTTATAGTACATAGAGTCTTATGTAAAACTGTAAAGTTATTGGACTCTAGTATTAATATTGACTGAGATATGACCATTTAAATCGGAGTACCCTTTCGTAAGTTTTGAAACTACTGTTATATGACTCGATTTTTGTGATCTGATTTTATTCCTTCTAGCCAGTTTATGTTCTTGAAATTATGGGGTGTGTAAGAAAATGTTATATAGATTAAGAATTTACAATCACAGATTACAGGAAAAGTACCATCAACTGCGTATGGAGTACCCTAAGTGCCAAAATGTGATACTTGTACAAAAAACAATCAATATAACATTCTCTTACAAACCCCTTAATTTCAAGAATATTGTCTATCTAGGGGATATAAAATCAGAACACTAAAATCGGGCCATAGAACAGTAGTTTCAAAACTTGCGAAAGGGTATCCGATTCAAATGGTCATATTAATACTAGAGTCCTATAACTTTACAGTTTTACATAAGACTGTGTGTACTATAACATATATGTTTTTTTATATATATAATTTTCCCGAGAGGGTCACTTTACAGCTTTCTCAGAATTGGGTCCCCTTGACATGGAATGACCCATATCCATATTACATTATGCTATAATTAACAATTGGAATTAGGTCACTCAGTATAAATATACATCATTACTAATATATGTGAGGTCTACATTTTTTTAATTTAATTTTAGTTAACCCATGTGATATCAACAACCCCTGTTTAAATGATGGTACGTGTTATCCATCAGAAGGTGGCGTGAGTTGCAGCTGTCCTCCTGGATTTGAAGGGTCCTTTTGTCAAGGTAAGCTGGTACTATGTCTGTACACTATATAATCTTCTTCGGTATAAAAACCTATATATAAATATATGCATAATATAATAAATAAAGGTTAAAATGCCTAAAGAAATTACTATTATTTAATTGTCTACATGTTTCGCCTGATTTCGGTAGCCATAATTACAAAAATAACGTGAAGTCCAGCTATTCCTAGACGATCAAGGTTGTCACAAATCGGATAGATGAGTTATGCGCCCTTGAGTATGAAGGCTTGATAAATCTGGCTCGTGCAAATGTTGAGGAAAATGAGTTTTAGACATAAATAACAGTGTCAATTTATACCAGTTGTAAATAGATTCTGTATAGGTAATTGGATGGGTATCTGTTTGATGTAAACAAATTGAAGAACACGAAGGAAAATAGTTATCCAACTTATTCTATCGAATAAGGCTCTAATGAACCAAGATGGCGGACCAGGTAAACAAAGATAAACAAAACAAATTAGACAAGTTTTTAACTCAAACCCCAAGGCCTAAAAAGATATTGTTATAAACTTGCCCAGTCTCCCTTAAGCTAAGAATGGACTGGGCTGTATTGATGACCCCAGAGTGCACATGCGTGTGTTGTTATAGGGTATAAAAAGCTCACATGTTAGAGTGGCCCACAGACTCATTTATCTGTACTATATAAACTGACCTGTTTTAACAGCATGTTGTCACGCGGATCAAAACTTCGTTTATGAGAAAAGTGCTCTCACGGGCTCGCTCGTGCACTGTAAGCAGCAAACAGTCGCCCAAAATAGACATTCACGTGACAATATTCGTTCACTTATTTATCAATGAAGCCATGTAAAAAATTATTCTTTACTCGTTGGACTTTTAAAATAAGTAGTTACGAACTAGATGGCCTGGCGCCTGGTACGTTCGGGCATTTTTATGCGCGAACTCTTAGTTTTTTTTTTTACTGGCACGCGCACAGGTACTATTTCTTTTTCTTTTACAAGTACCCAAATCGGGGATTTCGTGCGGAGGTAGTTCGGAGGTAAACAGTCTGTGAAGTACAACATTTGCCACTGTACCTGTGTATCGCTAATTATAAACCGAATGTGTGAAGACAGTTCATACATATCACTCAAAAATTTTTCAGTACAAACTCAGTTGATTCACGCTCAATTTGCTACTAAACAAACCCATCGGTTTATTTTCTCAACAGTGTGACCGCGGATTTATTGACCTTGTATGAACTTATCCATAGCTATATCCTTACACCGAGAGAAATTATCTAGTCTCGGTGAAAAGAACCATGGTCATCTGGTAGAAAATTACTTTTGTATTTTTTGGAACGGAAAACAGTGTTTTTAGAAGCAAACTAACCTGCCGCACATTTGGAAGTCATTATACTAATAATAAAAGGCGAGACCTCTTTTTGCGGCGCAGGCTTATCACTGAGTAGTAAACCGTCCACAAACAATAATATAGGAAGCCTAGTGACGAGTGTAGGCTATAGACTATAGGTTTGAGTCGAGATTACTCGCTTTCAGTTTACTCTGTTTTTGCGATAACCAATTATGTGAGAAATACCATACTGTACGCGAACTAAATGCGTTTGTTAGATACTGACAGAGCAGCCCCGAGTCGAACAATCGCCGCCCGAGCTGTCTTCGTCAGCTAGTTTCACAATATCGTGCAATAGGTGTATTAATGTGATTTTTAGGTTTACCCCGCAAACAATGCCAAAATAGTGTTTTCACTGCTTATAGAAAACTGAAATTTAAAAAAAAATTTTTTTATGAGGGTGACCCTCCCACACACTCCCTATCGAGCTGCCGTTCGGTCTGCGCAGCCTCATGCCTGGCACATACTGTCAACATTGTATATTTTTACATTTCCGCCCCCCCCCCCACAATATATATTTCACGGCTACGTTGCGACGGTACCAGCATACCCAGTTGTTGACACCCATTACACCACTCCTGTCTAACAAATCATAAAGCTGTGGTGTTACGGTGGCGGCATAGTATTTCACCGTAACACCACAGCCACTCTAACCATTCATAATACATCTAACTATCCCTTTACAGCACTTCACTCCCGACACATTTCCCCTCGTCCTACTTTCCCAAACGTCAACAACACATCTCATACATCCAGTTCGCTGATTAACCCTTGTACCACGTCTACTGGATTAAAATTTGGGCTAAAACTCGGCGATTTAATTTTTAAGTTAGTTGATTGTAACCAATGACGTATATATTGTAACGGTTCTCGGTTCAGAGTCAACTCGTGTAGTTTCGCCCTTTTTCTATCTTTTAAATCCACTCTCGTGGCAACATACCGACACTGCAAGACTGTGAAAGTTACTTTTATTTAACCGCAAAACTCTGTTGTTAGTGGGCGCTTTAGTTACTTTAGAAGTTACATTGTTGCTATCTCTAAATACGCAGAACAAATTTGAGACTGGAAATTAATTGAACGAAATTATTTTCTCTAGTTTCGATTAACCAGACGTGTATGATTAAAATAAAATTACGGTACTGGTCACAAGACTCGGATTCTAATCATTTTAGGGCACTGCAAATTGGCCTCCGGTTTTGTGTCAAATTTAATAGGAGGATGTGCCATTATGGCTATGCCATTCATGTATATTATCCTTATGCATTTGCCATTTCTAACATGGTGATTACAAAACGTTTCAGTTATTATAAATCTAGCAGCAACTCATTTTTCTAGAACTGAAATATAACCAAAAAGACGCGCATTGACTGTTTCATAATTATTAAAAATATGAAAACACGATGCGTAAATTGGGGTTACTGGTGCACTGTTGTAATTAAGGCAAATATTGTAATTTTAATTAATACACTATTATGATTAATGTCCATATTGTAATTGTATTCCATACATTATTAGGTTTACGCTGTTGTAATTAATAGAAATATTGTAATTGTAAGCCATACGCTGTTGTAATTAATAGACATATTATAACTGTAAGCCATATGCTGTTGTAATTAATAGAAATATTGTAATTGTAAGCAATATGATGGTGTAATTAATTGTAAGAATTGTAAGACATATGTTGTTGTAATTAATTGTATTTGTAAGAAAAACATTATATGATTTTTCATAGACTGTTGTGATTAATGGACAGATTGAAATTGCAACCCATACACTGTTGTGATTAAGGGGAATATTGTAATACGTCCACTATTGGGATTAAAGATGCATTTTGGGATATTAGATAAAGAGCTGACAGTTCTTACTACAATAGTTTAAAATTAAATAATGTAAAAGGAAATTACTGAATATTTCAGTGAAATTGATCCACTCTGAACCGAAATTTTAGCTATTGAATTTTCGGCCTAGCCTCGATCATCATTACTAATGTCGGTACGATAAAAAAAAAAGCATAGTCTCGATTATCCACTTCATGATGAAATTATGGATGGAAGTCGAACAGAAAATCGGAACCTAACCCAATCAACACTGCAGGTAAACGGGACTAGATTGTGAACTGCGCATGTTATCTAAATCCAATTATTAAGACCATCTGCCGTTTTGACCAAGGCCGCCGAAAGTTAAATAGGATCAGGGAATGGGCTTGTTGACGATCAGGGCACGTGCTTGTTGATGATCAGGTTTTAGAGTTTTGGGGAAAGGTATTGATAAGCAATAATAACAATATTAAATTGAGAGAATTAATCCTTATAGAGAAACCAACCAACATGTTTATATTATTTGTGCCTTTTTAATTCTAGTGAACCTGTGTCTACCCAACCCATGTAAAAATGGCGGTAATTGTTTACCAGTTGATAACGGTTACAGCTGCAATTGTACTACAGGATTTTTAGGAGAAAACTGTGATAGTAAGTTACTTAAATTCATTATTGTCATAATAATTTAGCATGCTTTGATTAACAAGCTCATTTTAGGAAAAGAAAAGGACTCAGGATACATTCTTGGTTGACACTAGATTAGATTGACACAAGAATCCACCAATTACATCTGAGTTAACTCGTTATATCTGAATAAACTCACTACATCTGAGTTAACTCATTACACCTGAATTAACTAGTTACATTATAATTTATATCATTGTTACCATAGGTCCATGTAATCTTGCTCAAACAATGTATAACATAACTTTGTTTGATTAATTCGGACAAGGCGTACCTGAAATCGATAAGACATAATATAATCAACCTGTTTTACAGTTACTAATACAAATTTATTACCACTGAATATCCTTTCCCGAACTCAGCTTGTTCCTCTGCTGCTTATCGGACCATTTCACTAACATGCTATACAGAATTGATATGAATAATTTTATGGCATCGATCAGAATGTAGGATGTCACTATACTTACTTGGTAATTTCATATCCTCACCAGTAGCCTACTTTTTACAGTCATCACTGATAATTTCTAGGTCATTCCATTTCACCTGGACCAGTGCTTGTAAGTGACGCCCTCAGAAAATTATGAAAACAAAATATGTTATAGTACATAGAGTCTTATGTAAAACTGTAAAGTTATTGGACTCTAGTATTAATATTGACTGAGATATGACCATTTAAATCGGAGTACCCTTTCGTAAGTTTTGAAACTACTGTTATATGACTCGATTTTTGTGATCTGATTTTATTCCTTCTAGCCAGTTTATGTTCTTGAAATTATGGGGTGTGTAAGAAAATGTTATATAGATTAAGAATTTACAATCACAGATTACAGGAAAAGTACCATCAGCTGCGTATGGAGTACCCTAAGTGCCAAAATGTGATACTTGTACAAAAAACAATCAATATAACATTCTCTTACAAACCCCTTAATTTCAAGAATATTGTCTATCTAGGGGATATAAAATCAGAACACTAAAATCGGGCCATAGAACAGTAGTTTCAAAACTTGCGAAAGGGTATCCGATTCAAATGGTCATATTAATACTAGAGTCCTATAACTTTACAGTTTTACATAAGACTGTGTGTACTATAACATATATGTTTTTTTTATATATATAAATTTCCCGAGAGGGTCACTTTACAGCTTTCTCAGAATTGGGTCCCCTTGACATGGAATGACCCATATCCATATTACATTATGCTATGATTAACAATTGGAATTAGGTCACTCAGTATAAATATACATTATTACTAATATATGTGAGGTCTACATTTTTTTAATTTAATTTTAGTTAACCCATGTGATATCAACAACCCCTGTTTAAATGATGGTACGTGTTATCCATCAGAAGGTGGCGTGAGTTGCAGCTGTCCTCCTGGATTTGAAGGGTCCTTTTGTCAAGGTAAGCTGGTACTATGTCTGTACACTATATAATCTTCTTCGGTATAAAAACCTATATATAAATATATGCATAATATAAGAAATAAAGGTTAAAATGCCTAAAGAAATTACTATTATTTAATTGTCTACATGTTTCGCCTGATTTCGGTAGCCATAATTACAAAAATAACGTGAAGTCCAAGACTACTGAGTCCCAACAGACAGTATCCACGCCAGCTATTCCTAGACGATCAAGGTTGTCACAAATCGGATAGATGAGTTATGCGCCCTTGAGTATGAAGGCTTGATAAATCTGGCTCGTGCAAATGTTGAGGAAAATGAGTTTTAGACATAAATAACAGTGTCAATTTATACCAGTTGTAAATAGATTCTGTATAGGTAATTGGATGGGTATCTGTTTGATGTAAACAAATTGAAGAACACGAAGGAAAATAGTTATCCAACTTATTCTATCGAATAAGGCTCTAATGAACCAAGATGGCGGACCAGGTAAACAAAGATAAACAAAACAAATTAGACAAGTTTTTAACTCAAACCCCAAGGCCTAAAAAGATATTGTTATAAACTTGCCCAGTCTCCCTTAAGCTAAGAATGGACTGGGCTGTATTGATGACCCCAGAGTGCACATGCGTGTGTTGTTATAGGGTATAAAAAGCTCACATGTTAGAGTGGCCCACAGACTCATTTATCTGTACTATATAAACTGACCTGTTTTAACAGCATGTTGTCACGCGGATCAAAACTTCGTTTATGAGAAAAGTGCTCTCACGGGCTCGCTCGTGCACTGTAAGCAGCAAACAGTCGCCCAAAATAGACATTCACGTGACAATATTCGTTCACTTATTTATCAATGAAGCCATGTAAAAAATTATTCTTTACTCGTTGGACTTTTAAAAATAAGTAGTTACGAACTAGATGGCCTGGCGCCTGGTACGTTCGGGCATTTTTATGCGCGAACTCTTAGTTTTTTTTTTTACTGGCACGCGCACAGGTACTATTTCTTTTTCTTTTACAAGTACCCAAATCGGGGATTTCGTGCGGAGGTAGTTCGGAGGTAAACAGTCTGTGAAGTACAACATTTGCCACTGTACCTGTGTATCGCTAATTATAAACCGAATGTGTGAAGACAGTTCATACATATCACTCAAAAATTTTTCAGTACAAACTCAGTTGATTCACGCTCGATTTGCTACTAAACAAACCCATCGGTTTATTTTCTCAACAGTGTGACCGCGGATTTATTGACCTTGTATGAACTTATCCATAGCTATATCCTTACACCGAGAGAAATTATCTAGTCTCGGTGAAAAGAACCATGGTCATCTGGTAGAAAATTACTTTTGTATTTTTTGGAACGGAAAACAGTGTTTTTAGAAGCAAACTAACCTGCCGCACATGAGGAAGTCATTATACTAATAATAAAAGGCGAGACCTCTTTTTGCGGCGCAGGCTTATCACTGAGTAGTAAACCGTCCACAAACAATAATATAGGAAGCCTAGTGACGAGTGTAGGCTATAGACTATAGGTTTGAGTCGAGATTACTCGCTTTCAGTTTACTCTGTTTTTGCGATAACCAATTATGTGAGAAATACCATACTGTACGCGAACTAAATGCGTTTGTTAGATACTGACAGAGCAGCCCCGAGTCGAACAATCGCCGCCCGAGCTGTCTTCGTCAGCTAGTTTCACAATATCGTGCAATAGGTGTATTAATGTGATTTTTAGGTTTAACCCCGCAGACAATGCCAAAATAGTGTTTTCACTGCTTACAGAAAACTGAAATTTAAAAAAAAATTTTTTTATGAGGGTGACCCTCCCACACACTCCCTATCGAGCTGCCGCTCGGTCTGCACAGCCTCATGCCTGGCACATACTGTCAACATTGTATATTTTTACATTTCCGCCCCCCCCCCCACAATATATATTTCACGGCTACGTTGCGACGGTACCAGCATACCCAGTTGTTGACACCCATTACACCACTCCTGTCTAACAAATCATAAAGCTGTGGTGTTACGGTGGCGGCATAGTATTTCACCGTAACACCACAGCCACTCTAACCATTCATAATACATCTAACTATCCCTTTACAGCACTTCACTCCCTACACATTTCCCCTCGTCCTACTTTCCCAAACGTCAACAACACATCTCATACATCCAGTTCGCTGATTAACCCTTGTACCACGTCTACTGGATTAAAATTTTGGCTAAAACTCGGCGATTTAATTTTTAAGTTAGTTGATTGTAACCAATGACGTATATATTGTAACGGTTCTCGGTTCAGAGTCAACTCGTGTAGTTTCGCCCTTTTTCTATCTTTTAAATCCACTCTCGTGGCAACATACCGACACTGCAAGACTGTGAAAGTTACTTTTATTTAACCGCAAAACTCTGTTGTTAGTGGGCGCTTTAGTTACTTTAGAAGTTACATTGTTGCTATCTCTAAATACGCAGAACAAATTTGAGACTGGAAATTAATTGAACGAAATTATTTTCTCTAGTTTCGATTAACCAGACGTGTATGATTAAAATAAAATTACGGTACTGGTCACAAGACTCGGATTCTAATCATTTTAGGGCACTGCAAATTGGCCTCCGGTTTTGTGTCAAATTTAATAGGAGGATGTGCCATTATGGCTATGCCATTCATGTATATTATCCTTATGCATTTGCCATTTCTAACATGGTGATTACAAAACGTTTCAGTTATTATAAATCTAGCAGCAACTCATTTTTCTAGAACTGAAATATAACCAAAAAGACGCGCATTGACTGTTTCATAATTATTAAAAATATGAAAACGCGACACGATGCGTAAATTGGGGTTACTGGTGCACTGTTGTAATTAAGGCAAATATTGTAATTTTAATTAATACACTATTATGATTAATGTCCATATTGTAATTGTATTCCATACATTATTAGGTTTACGCTGTTGTAATTAATAGAAATATTGTAATTGTAAGCCATACGCTGTTGTAATTAATAGACATATTATAACTGTAAGCCATATGCTGTTGTAATTAATAGAAATATTGTAATTGTAAGCAATATGATGGTGTAATTAATTGTAAGAATTGTAAGACATATGTTGTTGTAATTAATTGTATTTGTAAGAAAAACATTATATGATTTTTCATAGACTGTTGTGATTAATGGACAGATTGAAATTGCAACCCATACACTGTTGTGATTAAGGGGAATATTGTAATACGTCCACTATTGGGATTAAAGATGCATTTTGGGATATTAGATAAAGAGCTGACAGTTCTTACTACAATAGTTTAAAATTAAATAATGTAAAAGGAAATTACTGAATATTTCAGTGAAATTGATCCACTCTGAACCGAAATTTTAGCTATTGAATTTTCGGCCTAGCCTCGATCATCATTACTAATGTCGGTACGATAAAAAAAAAAGCATAGTCTCGATTATCCACTTCATGATGAAATTATGGATGGAAGTCGAACAGAAAATCGGAACCTAACCCAATCAACACTGCAGGTAAACGGGACAGTTACTAATACAAATTTATTACCACTGAATATCCTTTCCCGAACTCAGCTTGTTCCTCTGCTGCTTATCGGACCATTTCACTAACATGCTATACAGAATTGATATGAATAATTTTATGGCATCGATCAGAATGTAGGATGTCACTATACTTACTTGGTAATTTCATATCCTCACCAGTAGCCTACTTTTTACAGTCATCACTGATAATTTCTAGGTCATTCCATTTCACCTGGACCAGTGCTTGTAAGTGACGCCCTCAGAAAATTATGAAAACAAAATATGTTATAGTACATAGAGTCTTATGTAAAACTGTAAAGTTATTGGACTCTAGTATTAATATTGACTGAGATATGACCATTTAAATCGGAGTACCCTTTCGTAAGTTTTGAAACTACTGTTATATGACTCGATTTTTGTGATCTGATTTTATTCCTTCTAGCCAGTTTATGTTCTTGAAATTATGGGGTGTGTAAGAAAATGTTATATAGATTAAGAATTTACAATCACAGATTACAGGAAAAGTACCATCAACTGCGTATGGAGTACCCTAAGTGCCAAAATGTGATACTTGTACAAAAAACAATCAATATAACATTCTCTTACAAACCCCTTAATTTCAAGAATATTGTCTATCTAGGGGATATAAAATCAGAACACTAAAATCGGGCCATAGAACAGTAGTTTCAAAACTTGCGAAAGGGTATCCTATTCAAATGGTCATATTAATACTAGAGTCCTATAACTTTACAGTTTTACATAAGACTGTGTGTACTATAACATATATGTTTTTTTTATATATATAAATTTCCCGAGAGGGTCACTTTACAGCTTTCTCAGAATTGGGTCCCCTTGACATGGAACATATCCATATTACATTATGCTATAATTAACAATTGGAATTAGGTCACTCAGTATAAATATACATTATTACTAATATATGTGAGGTCTACATTTTTTTAATTTAATTTTAGTTAACCCATGTGATATCAACAACCCCTGTTTAAATGATGGTACGTGTTATCCATCAGAAGGTGGCGTGAGTTGCAGCTGTCCTCCTGGATTTGAAGGGTCCTTTTGTCAAGGTAAGCTGGTACTATGTCTGTACACTATATAATCTTCTTCGGTATAAAAACCTATATATAAATATATGCATAATATAATAAATAAAGGTTAAAATGCCTAAAGAAATTACTATTATTTAATTGTCTACATGTTTCGCCTGATTTCGGTAGCCATAATTACAAAAATAACGTGAAGTCCAAGACTACTGAGTCCCAACAGACAGTATCCACGCCAGCTATTTCTAGACGATCAAGGTTGTCACAAATCGGATAGATGAGTTATGCGCCCTTGAGTATGAAGGCTTGATAAATCTGGCTCGTGCAAATGTTGAGGAAAATGAGTTTTAGACATAAATAACAGTGTCAATTTATACCAGTTGTAAATAGATTCTGTATAGGTAATTGGATGGGTATCTGTTTGATGTAAACAAATTGAAGAACACGAAGGAAAAT